GCTGTGGAGCTCACAGCTCCAACTCCTAGGCTTCAGCCTCCTGAGTAGCTGGGACTATAGGCACCCACCACAAACCCCGGGCTATTTTTTGTTGCGGTTTGGCCGAGGCCAGGTTCCAACCTGCCACCCTCAGTATATGGGACCAGCGCCCTACCCACTGAGCCACAGGCACTGCCCTGCTTTTCCATTCTTATGATACTTTACTAAGAAGAATGTGTTTCAACTCCATCCAGGTTAATAAAAATATGGAACATTCAAGAATTTGCATGTCATCCTTGCACAGGGGCCATGTTAATCTTCTCTGTATCATTCAAATTTTAGTATATGTGCTACAGAAGCAAGCACTAATTTTAAGTAATTTAAATAGTTACATGTGGCTAGTAGTTAGCATTTGGACTGCACAGCTCTAGAATATTCTGAAAGGTTGATTGCTAGGCCCCTCCCCCCATTTTCATAGTATTTTGTGTATAATCTCTAGTACATCACTGGATTGTAATCATTCTTGCATTTTACTCACCTTACTAAGCTTTATGTCTTACTCATCTTGCTGTGATCACTGCTAGTACATGGCCTGGCCCACAGCACTAGATGTTTAATAAATAATGTAGGCTAAAAACATAGAGTGAGACCAGGCTTGGTGGCTCATGCCTGTAATCCCAGCATTCCGAGAGACTGAGGGGCATGGATTGCCCTGAGCTCACAGGTTAGAGACCAGCCTGAGCAAGAGTGAGACCCCGGCTCTAAAAATAGCCAGACGTTGTGGCAGGTGCCGGTAGTCCCAGCTACTTGGGAAGCTGAGGCAAGATAATCGCTTGAGTCTAAGAGTTGGCAGTTGCTGTGAGCTGTGATGCTACGGTACTCTACTGAGGGTGACAAAGTGAGACTCTGTCTCAAAAAAAGAAAAAAATACAGTGAGTAGGCTTTTTCAGAAGCATGGCTGTCATTGCCTTCTAGAATCTAAATAACTCTTTCTCACGACTTTGCTCTTAGGAATTAAATTGGTTCCCAAATCTTCACAGGAAGCCCGGAGTCCTTACCTGGAAGCACTTTTCTCTTTGCTCAAAAAAATCACAGCTCCTAGCTCATTGTTCTGCTTATTTCTCTTTCTCCTTAAATGAATGTGTCATTAGCATTTCTTGATTTTTTTTTTTCCAGTTTTAGGTACTATCTCCCGCCCTAGAAGAAGATAACTCACTAGCCCTCTGCCCTGCCACCCAGGCTCAGTGGCTCATGCCTATAATCCCAACGCTCTGAGAGGCTGAGAAGGAATGTTCTCACTCTCCACTGAACCCGCTCCTTTAATGTTAGTTAGTTGAATATTGCCACTATGTAAATACTATTCACGGAGAAGACAAATAGTCTTCTTTTCTTTCCTGTACAACCTTTTTCTGGAGGTAATAAAAAGCTCACTTTCATTTACAGAGTGTTCTGTGTCCTGGTCACGGATTCAACCCCAAATTCTTTCCCTGTTGTATAAATCTTTTCTGTTTGGGACCAGGGAGTTAATTCTGTCAATTCTACCTCTTAGAAGAAGGCTGTCCAGAGCCTTCTCACCTCTTGGAATCCGAATGAGGCGCCTTTTCAGTTGCTGGGATTCTGGGACCTCCCAGCACCATCATTCTGGGGTGTACTTTGGTCTCTGCTGTAATTAATGTCCTACACCGTATCCCTCGGCATCCCCTTTTGGTTTACCACGGCATTTGCTGTTTATATCTTCCAGTAGCCTCCTGGAAAAAACTGGATGGATGGTGAATGTTCAGCAATCTTTCTGTCTTTCTTTCTTTCCTTCTTTTTTTTTAAGAGATAGAATCTTACTTTGTCGCCCTCAGTAGAGTGCTGTACCATCACAGCTCACAGCAACCTCCAGCTCTTAGGCTTAGGTGATTCTCTTGCCTCAGCTTCCCGAGTAGCTGGGACTACAGGCACCTGCTACAATACCTGGCTATTTTTTGTTGCAGTTTGGCTGGGACCGGATTAGAACCCACCACCCACAGTATATGGGGCTGGCGCCCTACCCACTGAGCCACAGGCACCACCCTCTTTCTCTTTTTTTTTTTTTGAGACAGAATCTCACTCTGTCCCCCTAGGTAGAGTACTGTGGCATCATCTTAACTCATAACAACCTTAAAACTCTTGAGTTCAAGAGATCCTCATACCTCAGCTGCCCTAGTAGCTGGGACTATATGTGTCTGCCACAATACCTTGCTAATTTTTCTATTTTTGGTAGTGACAGGGATCTTACTCTTGCTCAGGCTGGTCTCAAACTCAGGCTCAAGCAATTCACTGCCTCAGTCTCCTAGAGTGCTAGGATTACAGGCATGACCAATGGGCCCAGCCTTTCTTTCTTACCCCAAAATGGGTAAGGCTTACCAGGCTTAGAATTATTTGTTATATAAGTGTATGTGTGTTTTAAGAAGTCCAAGATCTTTCTGATCCCCAGCTCTTTGTATGTTGCTGGGGGTTTTTTTTTTTTGTGTGTGTGTGTGTGTGTGTTTTAGTCTTTCTGAACGCCTGTACAGTCCTTTTTTTAATCCCCATTCTGAAGTATAACAGTGATGTGCCTTGGTGTTGATTCTACTTTTATCCATTGTGTTGGGCACTGGGTGAGCCCTTTCCCAGAAACTCATGTCCTTCAATTATGTGAGATTTTCTCACACTGCTCTGTGATGGATTTCTGTCCTCCTTGTTTTCATCCTCCCTCTCTTTGATACTTCTGTTATTTGGATATTGGACCTCCTATAATGGACCTTTAAAAAAAAATCTTTTTTTTGAGACCAAGTCTCACTGTTGCTCAAGGCTAGAGTGCCCTGGAGTCATAGGTCTAGCAACCTCAAACTCTTGGGCTCAAGTGATCCTCTTGCCTCAGTTTTTCGATCTTTTAGTAGAGATGAGGTCTTACTCTTGCTCAGGCCAGTCTTGAACTCTTGAGCTCCAGTGAGCCATCTCGCCCAGCCCCCTGTTTTTGAATTTTAGATAAACATTGAATACTTGTTTTTTAAACTTCGGGTTAATGTGAGGGTACAAACAACCAGGTAACAATATTTGAGTTTGTTAGGTAGAGTGCCTCTTGTAGCTGTGTCCTGCACCCAGAAGGTGTGCCATACACCCCTTAAGTGGGAGGGCCCCAAGCCCCCTTTTTCTCTCTTCTCCCTCCTTTGTTCCCCATCCCCCCCAACTTGAATTAAACTGAGGTTTTTTTTCCTCTGTGGGTGTGAATTCTTCTCTCTTCTCATCTCGCTCCTTGGTTTGAGTCCTTGTCCTCCAAGTAAATGCTTGTCCCTCCTGAGTCTCCTCTTTAAACACCAAGCAATCCAGAATATTCATTCTTCCATACATAAGGCTGTCATTCTGTGGGGCAGGTGAGCTATGTGGTGACCCATTCACTCCAGTTTCCTTGTACCCAGCATACAGAGCAGGAGTTCAGAATTTATTTGCTCTCTAGATAAGCAATACTCTATCCCTTCCTGCCTCCTTTGTCGCGTCCCTCTGCCTGAAAGGCCCTCCCACGACACCAAGTCATTATTAGTTTTCCACGGGTCACAGTTCTCCTCGTCTTTCAATGGATGCATGGCTCACACTCTGTCGGCTTCTCTGAAGCTGCCAAGTTGCACAATCTCCCAGTCCGGGACCACCCCAGGATTTTGTCGGTGTTTATTCTATTTCATTGCTTGTGGTCTGCTTAATAGTGTTGCCAGAATGTCTTTCTGCAGTAGATCCTTGGTTTCCAGAGATTGAAAGAATGAACCCATGGACCACAGACATCAGTGATAAGATAGGATTTATTAGATAGAAAGTAAGAGAAGGAATGAAAGGCACTAGATCCTGGGGTGGGGAGGCTCAAGTGGGAAATCCCTGTGTCTTTCATCTAGGGTCTTTCTTCCAGGATCTTTATGCTATTTAGGGAATTATTATTTGGCCAAAAGTTGACAGACTCCATTATAAACTGAATGAGGGTATTAATAAATGAATGCAGTTCCTCCAGCTCTGGGAGAAAAACGGCAGGAGGTCCACTCCAGAAGGGGCTTAGCTTACACAAAATGCTGGAAAAATTGCTGTTCACCTGTCTGTCTTGTATTCTGAGGGTGCAGTTTGGATAGATAAAAGTCTATTTGTTTAGGCCTAGAAAATGGGTGTCCCCATCCAGCTCTGAGTAGGGGAAACCTTTTATCAGTAGCGTGTTTACTTGTTAGCTCTTCTTGCCCTCTCCAACTAGAAGGTTCACTTCCTGAGGATTTGGGCTTTGCTTTTTTTGTGTCTTCCTTTCCAAGTAACATTTGAATTGAATAATGAGTACTGTGGTAAAAATTAAGAACAATGAAATCATGTGATAGTTGAGCAATCTATTTGATTTTAAGGAGTTATTAAACAAAAAAATAATAGCAAGAGAAAAGATGTGGCCAACAAGAATATGAAATTGAATTACTGAAAGGATATGGTCATTCTAATATTGTATGATAAATTTGAGACACAGCTTATTATATCAATACGTAGTTTACTTTGGAGTATAAGAGCCTTTTTCAAAAAGGTTGTATCTGTATATAATGAATTATTCCAATAATCACTGAGGAGCTGGTGTAAATCTGAATGTTTAATTTCTTAAGTGCCACACATCATTATTTTTATTTTAAGCAAAGACATTTTCTAAATTACATATTTTATCGAAAGGCTATACATTTATTAATTGGTACTTTCCTTGATACCGCCCCCAAAAAACAAATTCCTTGAATTTTTTTTTTTTAGTTTGTTTTGTTTGGGGACCGTTAATGATCAAAAATGAGAGATTATTCTGAGACATGAACAAAAAGAATCAGAGTCCAGGTTCTGTGTGGGCAACATGCCATTTACTCCACTCAGATGCGAGTGAGCTGAGTTCAAAAAGGAAGTCAGAATGTAGGTTCAGGTGGACGGGAATATAAAAGTTCGAGGGGTAGGGATTGGCACATTCGTTCATTCTTTCCTGTGCAGGACATTCATGTACTCATTCCTTCCTGGACAGGAGTTTCTCTTTGGGCAGGTCCCTATGCAGGGATCAGGGCAAAACCTGCCTTTTTCCCATGACCTGGTTCACTGAAAGATCAACTCACAATTATGGTAGATTAATAAGAGAAAGCTTTATCTCTAAATGCCATGCGTTTGGGGAAACCACAAAAATGATTATCCAAAGTCTTAGTGATGGTCAGAGACCTTTATAGATGCTTTTGGAAGGGAAGGAGGAGAATGTGCCAAGTATAGGTGCAGTAAGTGGTTGCTAGGGGGATGTGTAGATGGATGAAAAGGGACTGATTTGTAGATTAACCTGAGAGACATGTATTATGCTTCAGATGACCATGGGGCCAGGTCTAGAA